CATTATTTTCTGTCTTATTTTCTGTTTTCGGACAACACTAGTCCTTTCTCAGTAGCTAATGAGTGAGGGTAGAAAAATGCAGATGACATACAATGAGAAGTCATGCAAGCATGATAGAAACAATAGGATAGGTCAGAAGTAACAGCGTGAACAAAGAAAGCCAAAACTATATTTTAGCTGGTAAATCGTAGGAAATAATGCTTAGCACTGGAAACAAACCAAACAGATAATAACAGTGCTCAAATATATACGAACATGATATAAAATAGTATTGAACAAAGTTTATCAACGAAAGTTGTATCGTTAATCGTAAGACTTTAATCCATTCGCAAGCCATAAAGATAATAATAAAATACAATTTTATCTTGTATCTTGCATCATAAACATTTAGTATTGAAATGTTGATATGTATAGTGAGTGACCTAGATTATATTTTTTCTAACAGGAATGTGATATCGGATGAACTGTAGTGTAGGACTATATATTTTGTTAGTACAATTATAAACAATTAGGAACTTTCGTTGTTGAACTATGTTCGATACGATTTTATAACATCATGTTCCTATATATTGCAGCACTGTTTTCATTATCTATTTGAATTAGACGCTATACATTATACTGTATTCCCGTGCGAAGCAGCAAATTGCTTATAATATTATTTCCTATTATTTACCAGCTGCTACCTACAAAAGCTATTAAGTAGCTTGAAAATTTGCTACACTATGTATGAGCCCACAAGTTGTATAACGATAAATATAAGAAAAGCGCTAAAGGTGCTTGATTATATTTATTTAAGTATTTCAACAGCCTATTCACATCCAACTGTATTTCTTGCGTTTTATTGACTCTTGTTAATTTGGCATGATTCTTGTTAGTTATTCCGTTTAGCCAGACCACAAAACAAAAAGTATTTACAGATTGGATAACACTTTCATAAAAGAAATACTGTACGAGTCTTTACCAACATTAAAACACCTTTCTAAACAATAGAGACGTTGAATAACTTTTGCACAAACTTTATTAGAGTGTTCATCCCAGCTTAATGTATCATCCACCACATCAAGTTATTTTATATTTGTCGGTTCTATCTAAAACATGATTATTAATAGTTGATCTAGGTTATCGGTATCTTTACAAAAATCAAATCCTTTGTTTCTATTTTTTTCTCTATATATTTAGTTTCATAATCTATAATCAATCGAGCAAAGCCAGACATATCGTCTGCAAACTTAACTGAGTTTTATGAGTCTATACTCATCTAAGATCATTGGTGTAAAGTCCAAACAATACCAGGAAAAGAACACATAGGTACTTCTGTGTAAGTTTGAAAGAGTGCTACACTTTGTGGCCTATTGCTGAGAAAATCATATTACCAGAGATATTTATGGATATAAATTAATATTCCTTAGTTTTTTCATTAGTACATCACCTTATTTTGCGACTGAGCGCCCGGCCTCCCTTAATCATCGAGTCCCACTTCTCTGTGCCCCACCAATAATAATAATAATAATGTAATAATAATAAATATTATTATTATTATTATTATTATTATTATTATTATTATTATATATTACTAATAACAATAGGCCTAAACCTATTATTAGGCCTATTTCTTAGGCCGCCTATTTAAACAGCGGCCGAGATCATCGTCATCACGACAAATCGGCCGTTGTCGTATATAATTATAGTATACATATTACGGAATACACGAGTACACTTACCTCCCAACCCCTGATTCCGGGCAAAATGATGAGATATGATACAAAGACAATGACAGCCGCAAAGATGAAGCCTACTTCGAGGACATCGACTCTAACGGGGGTAGGGTTTGCGGCGTATAATGTCGGGGCAGGCTTGTTTCGCAACGCTGAAAATCCAATAACAACGTCGTCGTAGCCAAGACATTCGTGACCCTCACAAAAACCATCCATAATGTATTATGATCAATATTCGTTTTAATCGTATCTGTTGCCGATAACTTCTGAAAACAGAAGATAATATTAATGATCAACCTGTTGTAGTGTGCAAGCTTTGTAAATCCAGCTAAACAAACGTTGACTTCGACTGAAACTGGAACGAGTTGTTCTAATCCAATGACAAAGCACATTGAAATTTTCAATTCAAAATATAATGCATGGATGCCCTTCTGTAGTATACAAAACACGCCTATGCTTTTCTATTCTATAATCTTTGCGTAGTGATATTATATGTACTTCCTTGTTCCTGGTGAACACTAACAATCCAACTGAATGTTTAAAAATGAATAGGAATAAAATGATGATAATAACAACTATAACAAAAATTAACAACAATAATAAAAATAGGCATAATAATAATAAGAATAATAATAATAATTATTATTATTATAATTATAGTAATAATAATAATAATAATAATAATAATAATAATAATAATAATAATAATAATCATCATCATCTAGTTTAATTTTCACCTTTTATTCTTTTGTTTTCTATTGTATGGACTGAGGGTCCCGATTGATCAGCTCTGACACGATGAGACGAGAATTCGAAGAGACCCTTAAGGAAGAAGCATGTTATTGTACGAGCTGAGTCCACACTTCGAGCGCTTTTTTTTTAGACTAAAGTATAAAGAGTTAGGCCTTTAAAAATCCAACTACATTATGCATAGAATAAAGCTTTCGAATAAAGTGGTATTTAAAAGAATGAAGCGCACGATGCTGATTGCTTAAATACGAAATTATAAACGAAATGGGCCTACATGACATGCTTATAATATAATATATTTTATTTCCTTGTTGGCAAAGGCTGCAATCATGCATTGTTAGTCGCATGTAGTGTTATGTAATTCGATAGTTAAAGTATTTCCTCGTTGATGAAATAGGCCTACTTTACTAGTCATAGCAATATGTGAATCGGATAATTAATAAATAAATTAGCAAATGCTAATTGATAGTTAACTAAATATCGTAATATTTTACTGAAGAACTACAAATAGCGGATGAATACATTGTTATTAAGAGGTATTAAATGGAAACGAAGTTATGCGGAACTAACATGAACTATTGTTGTTAACCACTGAGTAGCAGGAATCAAGAGGACAGGCTCCTGTCACGTATTCAGTGCTCATTTGCATTATTGGGCTGGGCTTTAGAATTACTTCACTGATCAAAATAATTCTAGCTTGGGCGTCGAAGGTACTGTATTTCAAAATAAGTTCCTGCTACGACGTTGCATCAAGCGTAATCAAAGTGACGAAGATATATATTACTGTGAACAGAGGGTAAACATATCCTCAGCGATGAGGCTTTATTTCACTACTTGCGTGCTGATCTTCTTAGTAAATTGCACAGGTAAGTTAACTGAATTATGTACTTACACTTTTGGTTTTTCATGGTCTGATAAATCCGTACAGTAAGCATCCGTAATCACGACCTTTGTGTGACTGAAATACGAAATAAATTTATAGCAAAGTTACAGGGAAGGGGTTGATGAAATTGTTAAATTCATTCAAAGATGGATCAATCTGCGTATCAAAGAGTTCATAGTGCATCAGGTTAATGTCGTCGTCGGTGGTACATACCGGGCATATACCCCATGTGAAGATTTTAAGATCACACTTTTGTATTGATTTGTTTCCGGGTCCGTAATTTGAAAATGAATATAAGATATGATAAACTGTTACTGTCCATCAAATTGAATTCATCCTATAATCGTACTTTTAAAATGTGTTTGAAAACGTTTCATTCATTTAAAGCAGCGTTCCGCAAACTTTTTACTTCACGGCCTATTTAAGATTCTAGGCACCCAAGTCGCAGCCCAGCCGCACCAGGGACCAACATGCCAAATCCTGGCAAAAACTTTTGATCATGAAGCCTCCATATGTATATACAATATTTTAACATCATTATCTGTTCTCTCAGTGATAAAATTTCATCATTCATGATTCAACCAAACACGGTTCAGCCACACACGTCATAGCTTTCTCCTTCCAAAAGCTTTTACGCACACTCTGTTGCTCTTAAAAGACCACCTTACTAAGTTTAGTAATAAAGTATCCACATGGGCATTCGGTTATCAAGAAATGTGTGGTGTTGTTTAGTGTTGTGATCTTTCTAGGACAGGTTTTTTATTTATTTTTATCTTTAGCTTAACAATGAAGCGGCTTTATTAAAAAGTTTGTCCATGATGAAACGTCTCTTTGTTTTTTTTTTTTTGTTTTTTTTTTTTTTGTTTTTTTTTTTCAATTTCCAGACGGCTTCGCGGCCCTCCAAAAATGTTTCGCGGCCCAAATTTTGGCCGCAGACCATAGTACTAGCACTTTTCGACAAATAATACGAATCGATGTTTGCGATACCTGACGTGTTATAGTTCTGAAGGCTCACTCAGTACGTTCCCAAAATGCTTGAGAAAAAAAACAACAACAAAATGAGCGATGGGCAAGGATGAAGCCCGTCGATGAGAGATCAAGGGCCCGTTTCGGCCACGGAGAAGAAGTTTGGTGTGCTTTGCAACATATTGAAACAGAAAACTTGTTTCCGTAGTATTAAAATGGTTAATAAACAAATAGGCTTATGTCACATCAGAACCATGCGTTCGTCAATGAAGATTTTTACTTAATTTGGTTAAACCTTTGGATTTAAAGCTGCCTTTTAGTGTATTCTTTAGCCAAAATTGACTGATAAAATGTTTGCATTACACAGTTTTATCAGGGTTTCATAACCTAAAGTAAACAAACATTATATGAATCGATGTTTGCCCTACATGACGTGTATTGTACTGAATGTTTAGTACTTTCCCAAAATGCTTGCGAAGTTTCCACGTGATCACTCCAGATAACTGAATTGTCCAACCAATCGACCACCGAACTTCCGCTTGATGGTTATTGATGAATCTGATCCCCAAGTAGCAGTGGGTATTGCAATGGAGTTTTTCGTCAGATAGGCCTAGGCCTAATACGAAGCTGGGGGGGGGGGGGAGAAGAGCATTCAGCACTATAATACGTCAAAAATGGGGCAAATATCGATACGTATGTTATTTCGCCATCGGAATACATTACAATTATCAGTAGGATTTTAACAGGGCACCCCAATTCGAAACCCCTCTGATTCCGAAACCACGTTTCCAAAGACCCAAATAACAATCTTCAACCTTTAAAACAAAGGTAACCCTCTATTTCGAGATACCCACATCACTGCTTCCGTTTACCAGCAATTTAAGGTGCAAAGACCGGCTAGTACATAACTCACAGGTGTTCTCAGTTTTGTGGGCATCTAACTAAACAAATTAAAGAACAAAACAAAAAAAATCAATTCACAATAAATTAATTTCCTTGAGCAACAAACAATAGATGTGTTTTCAGAGCACGTTTGAACAAAGCATACAATTTATAAGAATAAGAAGTTCATTTTCAAAATCCTTAATAGGCCTTCTAATACTTCTGACCCCTGACTTGTCTTTTCATTTACATTTTTATACTGTTTATTGCTTATGCTTTAGTCCTTTTGTCTTAATTGTATGCTTGAATAAATTAACTTGCTAGGTCTATCCACCAAGTTTATGTTAACTTCACATTCACCTGAAGAAGTGCACCTGTCTCTTATACACATCTAGATGTGTATAAGAGACAGTATATATATAGAGAGAGAGAGAGAGAGGGAGGGAACGAGATATTATTTCGAGGGAACGAAATAAAATTTTGATAGAACTAAATAATATTTCGTTCCCTCGAAATATTATTTCGTTCCCCCGAAATATTATTTTGTTTCCTCCATTTCGTACAATGGAAACATGTTTTAATCTGATCGAATATGGTATGGACGATTTCTTGTATCTGTTTTTAATTGATCTATACGTAGGCCTATTATTTTTCTCAGAGCACATCTTTTTATAGTAATTATTCAACGGATGACATAATCTTTTAAATATTTTGGTCTTATTTGCGTAAAATTGTATTTAATGTTATATTAGTTTTATCATTTGTTTTATCATCACATTATCAGCATAAACTGTTGTGTAAATAGAACCCAAGTTATATTATAAGTTGAAACCATGTATATAAATAAGAAACATATTCTTAATTGTTCTTGAATACGTTCATGTTCATGTTTACTCAAGTACTGTATATTAATCAAATACGGTAACTTTAAATTTTGTGATTTGAGATAGTCCACAATTAAACCTATGAATGAATGGTCTAATTTACCATTATATCACCCTTTATATCTAGTGCTGAATAATGCACAGGATACCGGTACGATTAATTCTACTGGAATCATGGGGACTGAAGCTGTAAGTTTAAGCGTATCTACTACTGAAACATCTACTATACAGCAAACGGAAACGCCAGAAACAGGTATATCGAATAAAATTAAACAGTTATATTTCTGGGTTCATTATTCATGTTTTCGAATTAAAAGAAATGCAGAACTATATGTACTGTAATGATACTATTCTGTAAATTATTCCTGCACAGGCCTACTACAAAATACGATCAACTTGGGATATATGCCTACCATAGAACCAGTGGCGGCGCCGGCGGGGGGGGGGGGCTTAAGTATAGTATACCAACTAACATGTATTATGCCTAATATGATATACATTAGACCTAATAATGATGACATAGTGATATACATTATGTATTCATCATGTATCATAAACTGCTGAGAATGATTTGTTAGGATACTAACTAACCAAAATGTTTGTACTTAGTGTTCACATCCAAGGGCAAGAGTACCACACAAACTACAACGGTTAAAGGTAATTTTCTTTGTCAAGTTGCCTTTCGAGACAATTTAAACCCTTATATGGTTTAATGTATTATGCCTAATATGGTATACAGTAGACCTAATAATGATGACGACATAGTGATATACATTATGTATTCATCATGTATCATAAACTGCTGAGAAAGATTTGTTAGTATAACAACTAACCAAAATATTTGTACTTAGTGTTGACATCCGAGGGAAACCGTACCAGACAAACTATTCCTACAAGGGCTATGCCTACAAGGGTTATGCCTACAAGGGTTAGGCCTACTAAAGGTAATTTTCTTTGTCACGTTGCTTCGCAAGCTTTCTCATCGAGAGTAGATGCGCTTGCTATTTGCTCATTAACGTAGACCTGCTTGCTGTTTTCATTACTTATTCAATTTTTTACAAGTGAACGTTTAACAAAATGTACTTCAACGTGCTTAAATGTAAACATTCAGCTTAATAAAAATGAACTGTCCTAATTTCATTTTTATCACATCTTTCCAAGAGGAAAATTTCGGCTAGCTTGAATAATAATAATAATAATAATAATAATAATAATAATAATAATAATAATAATAATAATAATAATAATAATAATAATAAGATTTATTAAGCGCACATCTCCACTAAAGTGCTCAAGGTGCTTGTGAAAACCATGAAAAAGCTTATCCTTTTAAACTAAAGGCTACCAGAAAAACGACCATAACCCACATCACTGCTTCCGTTTACCAGCAATTTAAGGTGCAAAGACCGGTGGGCATCTAACTAAACAAATTAAAGAACAAAACAAAAAAAATCAATTCACAATAAATTAATTTCCTTGAGCAACAAACAATAGATGTGTTTTCAGAGCACGTTTGAACAAAGCATACAATTAATAAGAATAAGAAGTTCATTTTCAAAATCCTTAATAGGCCTTCTAATACTTCTGACCCCTGACTTGTCTTTTCATTTACATTTTTATACTGTTTATTGCTTATGCTTTAGTCCTTTTGTCTTAATTGTATGCTTGAATAAATTAACTTGCTAGGTCTATCCACCAAGTTTATGTTAACTTCACATTCACCTGAAGAAGTGCACTGTGTGCACGAAAGCTTGTGTACTGTCACAAATGAACTAGTCATAAAAGTACTGAATATCCTGAGTTTTATTTTCTATTATATATTAGACTAGTACGAAGCCTATTATTGCTGTTAATTTATAACAACACAGTAACATAAAATGTCAAATAATAATAATGATAGGTATGGTCAACATGATTATTATTTTATCTTGTACATTTTCCATCGGATGAAATACGTGTTTTATCTAATTCTTGCAACGTTTCCAACCAACCAAATCAAACAAACCAAACCATCTAATATGCCTGTATCATTTATTCCTAATAGGCCTATCTTAAAAGCACAATTAGGCCTAGTCTTTGGACTACTTTACGCTCACATTCTCATTTGGTGGGGAATGAGCGATTTTAGTGAAAAAATAATACAGAAGAGTTGTCAGTAATTTTCCAATCTTTAACAGTACCGTATGTAATTTGAGTATACTGCCCCCCCCCCCCATGGCAAAAGGGTATAACTGACATTTTTGGCGAAAATGAGTTATATGGACTAGTGGGGTCAGTACATCGTGTTACATATGTTGACAAAAAAAATTGTAAAAAAGTGTCCCCCGGGCTAGATAAGGGCATGGCGAAAGGGCATAACTACACAATTTTCAGTAAATTCCCAAGGCAAGAGGGTATAACTGCAAAGATAGGCTGTGATACGCTGAAGCGTGACGTTCTTTCAACAGCCAACCAATCAGAAGAGAGCTTTCTCCCTGGTTACAATGAAGGTTGCTTGTTAAGTTTTATCATTTTTATTATTCTTACTGTTTGTGTACTCACAATTTGTAAATAGAAATTGGTTAAATAGTATGATTCTTGACAGTAGCATATGTCTAGTTAATATTAGGCAAACATGATAAATCTAGTTAATTTATGCTATATAATCTTGCCTTACTTTGAATGGCAACCGTTTAATACTATGGAAATAAACTATGGGAAAATAGTAACTGTTTAATAAAAAATAATTAACCATGGCAGAATAACAATTTACATTTTAACTAGAAATAACAGTGGCAAAGAGGGACAACTAAAACGATTATTTAGCAAATAACTATGGCAAAGAGGCACAACTAGAACATTTATTTATAGCAAATGGCATAACAAAAAGGTATAACTGCACAGTTTACGCGAATCAACTGTGTTCACTAAGCAAACAACTTACTTTTCCATCTAAATCTAAATATATAATACATTATTTTTCTAAATATTTTATTAGAATATAAAAAAAAAACCAATATTCATAATCATTTAATAATTACTTGAATTTGGATCATAGAGAAGAATTTTTAATAAAAATAATAATAATAATAATAATAATAATAAGAATAGGCCTAATTTATATTGTAATTACATGACTTAAAATATATATTTATTATTTTACTTTGTAAATAAAATTTAAAAAATATCGCACACGCGCATTCTAACTAAACAGCAGTTCTATTTCATATACGCATACGCATGCATCCTTCAGTGACGTAACGCCTATGCGCTCTTGTGCAGGGCCTCAGACCCCTAGGGGTCCATAAGGCCCCCTACCCACAGAATCCTCGATATAGCACCTTGAGCCAAAAAGGCTTTGTTGATACATAACAGCGTACGAATGTTAATTCATTTTCTTGTTTGTATACTTGGTTACTATACATGGGTTTTTAATCGTTTGTAATTTGAGAAATGAACTAAACTGTGTACTTATATCCTTTTGCCAAAGTTCGTCAACATGTCTTGAATCAGAAAAACCACGGCAAAAGGGCATAAATGACATTTTGAACGTGAAAGCCGTCCACGTCCACTCAAATCGAAAAGTCCTTATTGCTGCACAGACTGCTGCGGGTTGCTGGAAGCACTAACTCTGTCTCTTATACACATCTAAAGCCACTCAATCATGCCAGAGAGGGCGCAATATTTCCATTCTGATTCTCTATGATTCTGATTCTGACTCTTGAAAAGTTTCCTGTCCGTTCGCTTCGCAATCTCCGCTGTGGATGAAGTACCAAAGGTAGGTTTAGCACAGAGCTTAGCACTCAGTAGCTAAAATTCCCACAGAAATTGTGACAGGGGATGGGCCAGGGACTTTGACCAATCACTCTTGTTATAATATCTGTAATAAGAATGAGAAAATTTACCTGGCCGTTTTCAAGAAGATAAAAACAATGAATTTTGAAGACACCTCAGAAGTCAAAAAAGCTCATTTCCCGCCATCTAGGAATCAACATTTTCCCGGGGGAGGAACATCCTCCTTTCATTTTGGGGATTTGGAAACATTCTGACACCTCCCCCCTCCTAAAATTTAATCCAGATCCGCCCCTAACGCATTAGTGATTCCGTTTTTGCGTCGTCGCACAAATCGAAAGCTCCCTAAATAGTAGAGATCAGTGAAACCGTCGTCGTGCATTTGAAAGCTCCTTATTATATTAAGGAGTTTTCGATTTGCACGTCCACTATGTCGACTGATGACCTATGACGTAGTTTTGATGACTTGTGCGTGCGTCAAGTCGACTAACACGACGACTGCCAAATTTGAGAACGTGTTCAGCAGCGTTTTGATACGAAAGCCTATTCGTGCCACTTAAGTATATAAAATCATCAAAATGTAATTCGAAATTTCGGATTAGTAATCCGAAATAACGGATTAGTAATCCGAAATAACGGATTAGTAATCCGTTATTTCGAATTAGTAACTCGTTATTTCGGATTAGTAATCCGTTATTTCGGATTACTAATCCGAAATTTCGAATTAAGTAATTTAAGTAATTCGTTTATTTCGAATTAGTAATTCGTTTTTTCGGATTACTAATCCGAAATAACGAATTACTAATTCGAAATTTCGGATTAGTAATTCGTTATTTCGAGTTAGTAATTCGTTATTTCGAATTAAGTAATTAGTTATTTCAAATTAGTAATTCGTTATTTCGGATTACTAATCCGAAATTTCGAATTAGTAATTCGTTATTTCGGATTACTAATTCGAAATAACGAATTACTAATTCGAAATTTCGGATTAGTTATCCGAAATAACGAATTACTAATCCGAAATAACGAATTACTAATTCGAAATAACGGATTACTAATTCGAAATAATGGATTACTAATCCGAAATAACGGATTACTAATCCGTTATTTCGGATTACTAATCCGAAATTTCGGATTACTAATCCGAAATTTCGGATTACATTTTGATGATTTTTATATACTTAAGTGGCACGAATAGGCTTTCGTATTTTGACGTTCGTTCGCTCTCTGACTGAGATAACAAGTAGACGTATGACGTCATATCACTGCAAACTTTTGATTCATGATGGAGGACGATGTCGCGGTGCTTCTTAATTTGGCAAAATTATCTTCTACTGGGGATGTAAGTAAATAGCATTTCGGTTAAGTTATGTCCTATTTGCAAACTATAGAATTATCCATTATTGTGGATCAAATTCAGTGGATAATTAGGTAATTAATCAAGGGAGCCTAAGCCTAGTATAGGCTAGGCGAGGCCGCGTATCCAGGAAAAAGGAAATAATTTTTCAGTGATTTGTTAAAAAAAAAAACAAACTATATTGAAAGATGTGCACCCTCAACAGGGAGATTTATGTTTTTACAACTCCCTGCCCTGAATACCCCATGGATATACCATTAAGGGATTCGCGAAGCCGATGAAGATTTGCCATGTTGAGCTGCGTAGACTACAGTACCTCTGAGTGGTGTTGAGTTAAAGATACCACGGCCAGTACGTGTATTCGAATAGCGCGTGCGAACACGGGGGAACCCCCTGATCCCAAGTTCACTGATGTGTCAACATGGACGTTCACTTTTAATCGAAACGTTCAGATAACCAGTGGTGGACAAGTACCAGTCGACTGCTTGGATTTTCCACTCACGCGGACGTGAAAGCCGTCCACGTCCACTCAAATCGAAAAGTCCTTATTGCTGCACAGACTGCTGCGGGTTGCTGGAAGCACTAACTAGTCTATGCTGGCTAGGCCTCAGACTACTAAAGAGGCTCGCCTCCTGGACCGACCTATCGCAGGCTTAGAGGAGCCTAGGGGCCTAGACCTACACGATCGTTCATACTTTGGGCCCAATCGTCTGGAAATGAACTCGATGTCTCATGGGGTCCAGGTCATCCGTAACCCGGCCATAGCAGCAGCTGCACAAATACACAAACCATTGAGGTATTTTTGAGAAGATCACT